CCAATGGGGGCGGCGGGAAGCCGCGGCCAGCACATCCCACGCCGCTTCCCGCCACCCCCATTGGCCCGGGACGGCGAACCGTGGCCAGTGGGGGCCGCGATCGGCCAAACCCGCCGCGTCAGCAGGTAAATAAATTGGCCCGGCCCGCCAGGGTGCTTACCCTGGCGAGCCGCATGCCAAACGTTGCTGACCCCTGCCCTAGTACATTTTTGTCTTGTTATGATATTTTTATATTCCTCTTTCTAAGGGTCTCCCAGGCTGATTCGAAACAGTGAGCCTGGCAAAATCCTATACATTGTTGTAGGCTAAGTGTCTCCTTCCAATTCCCCCTCTCTATATCAGCTCTGTTAGGTCATGACCCCAAACTTACTAACATCAGTGGAAACACTCCCATTGTCTTCACGGGCTTTGGATGTCCCTCCTTTTTTCCCCTGCATCTGTACTCATGACTCTAACATACTCTGATATGCACCTCAGGCAATAGATTTATGAACGTTGTCAACTCCAGTAATTTCAGGAGAGGCACAGCAATTTGACTTTGATGGAATAACTCTGGATTAACACTGGTGTGACTGAATTTGGCCCCAGATATCTAAATCAGTGGTTCTCAACCAGGGTACACATACCCCTGGGGGAACACAGAGGTCTTCTAGGGCAGTGGTTCTCAAACTAGGGCCGCTGCTTGTTCAGGGAAAGCCCCTGGCGGTCCAGGCCGGTTTGTTTACCTGCCGCATCCGCAGGTTTGGCCGATCGCGGCTCCCACTGGCCGCGGTTCGCCGTCCCAGGCCAATGGGGGCTGTTGGAAGCGGCGTGGGCTAAGGTACGTGCTGACCGTCCTTCCCGCAGCCCCCATTGGCCTGGAGCGGCGAACCGCGGCCAGTGGGAGCCGCGATCGGCTGAACCTGTGGACGCGGCAGGTAAACAAACCGGCCCAGACCACCAGGGGCTTTCCCTGAACAAGCGGCGGCCCTAGTTTGAGAACCACTGTTCTAGGGGGTACATCAACTCATCTAGATATTTGGCTAGTTTTACAACAGTACTACATGAAAAGCACTAGCGAAGTCAGTACAAACTAAAATTTCATACAGAAAATGACTTGTTTATACTGCTCTATATACTACACCAGGGGTCGGCAACGTTCGGCACGCGGCTCGCCAGGGTAAGCACCCTAGCGGGCCGGGCCAGTTTATTTACCTGCTGACGTGGCAGGTTCGGCCGATCGCGGCCCCCACTGGCCGCGGTTCGCCGTCCCGGGCCAATGGGGGCGGCAGGAAGCCGTGGCCAGCTCATCCCTCGCCCGCGCAGCTTCCCGCCGCCCCCATTGGCCCGGGACGGCGAACCACGGCCCGTGGGGGGCACGATCGGCTGAACCTGCCACGTCAGTAGGTAAATAAACTGGCCCGGCCCGCCAGGGTGCTTACCGTGGCAAGCTGCGTGCTGAACGTTGCCAACCCCTGTACTACACAGTGAAATGTAAGTACAACATTTATATTCAGATTGACTTATTTTATAATTATATGGTAAAAATGAAAAATAAGCAATTTTTCAATAATAGCATGTTGTCACACTTTTGTATTTTTATGTCTGATTTTGTAAGCAAGTAGTTTTTAAGTGAGGTGAAACTTGGGGGTACGCAAGACAAATCAGATTCCTGGAAGGGGTACAATAGTCTGGAAAGGTTGAGAGCCACTGATCTAAATGACCCATGAAAAGGATTACATATGAATGGAATGTGATTGCTGCATGCTAGAGATACATTAGAGATGGGTCTGAGCTGCAGTATTTATATGCAGATCACAATCCAAACTTTCCCACAATGTAAGGTCTGGGATTGGTCCATTATTGAGATAGAAGCCAGCTTCAAACTTGGATCTGAACTTCCCTGAAGTCCAGGGTTGTTTGGCTCTTGAGTATGGTTCTGACTTCATCTCTAATCTACATGGAAATCTAGAAATTGTGACTATAATAAAGTATATTGTACAACTCAACTGCTGCTTGTCATTCATGTCTCGCTGTAGATGGTGAGCTTTGCAGTGAATCCCTTTTCCTTAAGTGACACCAGTTTTGAGATCAGTGGAACCGTGGGAGGCCTAAGTCTTACCAGCGTTGATGGATTGGTCATACCAGTTAATGACCTTACTGAAAACATTGAGGTAAATCCAATCCCCTCTCTCAGTGTGAACTGGAGTCTAATTAGATCCTTGGGTGGCAGGTGCTCTATAAATGTTAGTTGTGTTATCATCATCATCATCATCATCATCTCTCAAAGTAGCAAGCTCAGTAGAGAAATGGTAATGTTGTGTTTACTGCCAACACATAAAGAGAGAGCATGGTGCAGGCACATGCTAGAAAGGACTATGTGGTTTGCAGGATGAACTCAATAAGCATCTCTTTCACAAGGTCTATGTGTGGGACCCGAAAGTGCATCTTGCTTGTACAAGTGATTCAGCCTTTTCTTCTCCTTCATCATGTGGATGAACGAGGAGAAACATGAGAATCCTACTCGCTAAGGAAGATGGCTGCAGGCTATGGCCTGAAACACACCGTGATGTCTAAATAATAAAACCATCATAATCCTGCCTCGGGGTAGGGCAAAGGACTTAATGACCTCTTAAGGCTCCTTCCAGCCCAACATTTCTCTGATTCTATCATCCCAATATTGCATGCCCATATTACTATCTCCTAGGCCTCCTAGCCCATGTGTAAAATCATTAAACTAATGCCTAAATCATTCAACAATGAATCTACATATCAATTTGTGTTTCAGGATGACCATAATCTCAACTCCTTAGATTTAGCTGGTATCTATATTGTTACTCATCTGGAAGACGCAGTTTGGAATCATTTCGATGAGTAGCATGACATTCGTTTCCTAAAAACTCACATATGGAACACTTGCAAATGTACTTCAAGCCTGCCCACATTCCTCCCTAACCCATGTGTGCACTCAGAATCAAGAGCTTTGAGATTAACCAATGTAGAGTTGATATGGACTTTTCAGAAGCTTGTTCTAAGTATCAAGCAAATTGCATTTGAGCAGGCATGCAAGAGGGAAGTCTTATTTACGATAGCTGTCCACCAGGATGGATTTGCTTGGGAATGCTTTCCCTATAGTATGTTTTGAAAGAAGAAATTAGAGGGGTTTTAGAAATAAATCCCATAAAATGTGCTTTGATCTTAGCATGGAGCCACATCGTGTTACTATGTAATAGGATCCAGGCATTGTCATACATTTTTAGGAATGAATCTCTGTGTTCACATATAGATAATTCTGCCAAGATTTTCAGCACCTCAGGAAAACAGGAGCCTGTTGAATCTGGGCAATTTTAGTGCTCTCCAAGTCAATGTCACCTCAGAAAATACATCTCTAGTGATCCACCTGGAAACTGAACAGGATATTCCACTAATACTGTACTTGGGATATGGCTACCATCCAAATGAGACTAACTATGATATGAAAGCTCATCTGCCCCTTAAGAAAAACACTGGAGGTAAGATCATTTACCAGGGACATTTGATTCTGGGCACTCTAGGCTCATCATGAGCACCCTTAACTCACACTTTCCAATAGAAGCTGAGCACACTCAATATAAGCTCTTAGGCCCAGATCCACAGAGGTACTTAAGCTCCTAACTTTCACTGATTCAAATGGAAATTAGGATCCTAAACACCTTTGTGGATCTGGGCCTTAATTCTCACATATAGTGCTGTCATCCAAATTTTTTACAGATGAGAACAAACATAAATTGTAGAGCTGAGCTCAAGCTCAGAAGTTTGGATGTGTAAATGGCAATGAACCTCCTCAAAGTCTGAAAGAGTTCCAATCTGTGTCCTGGTTTAGGTCATCTCTAATAAACACTATGCACAAACAGAAGCAAAGAACAGGTGCTTTGAATAATTAACCTTATAAATTAACCAGAATAAAAACCTATACTGATAGTTATTCTGATACCTGTTCTGTTATTCTATTTATTTTATTTATTGGCATGCATACAATATATCTGTATATTGCTGAAACAAATGCTTTCTTACATAGCTTTCAACTAAAATATTTCTGTTCAAGATAAATCAAACACATGGGTTCTTAGCCCAGAAGAACTCATTTTCGGAGGGGGGACTTACTATCTCATGATGGAACAAGACATGGAAATGGATTCTACAACCAACAGTGATCTAACCATAGCTGTCACTTCCTTTGTATCCCAGTGTGTGTTCTGGGATGAGCTACAGGGCAACTGGAATAGCTACGGGTGCTATGTAAGTAGAGAGAAGCAGAAGAATGTTGTCATGGATCTTTGCTCAATACATTTCAAAGCCAGCCTAGATAACAATAACATTTGGTAAAACGAATGAACATGTTTCTTTGAACTCTTGATAACACCGTGAAACAAGACCAGTTTGGGATGGGAGAAGGTCATGAAGCTCAGGTTAGTCCAATATAAAGTGGAACTTAGACACGTTTTCTCGAGGACATGCTTCTAAGTGAGAAGAGGTTGAAGCATTTTGAATGGATTATGTTTAGTACTATAATAGCCACTTCTGCTTAGGTCTTAGAATCACTGTCCTCTACTGGATTTTGTAGGATCTGCTCACATATAACAATTCTTCACACCTAGCTCAGCTAACTTTCCAGTTTCTTTAGCTTGCTAGGTAAGTAAGCTGTACTTTGAAGCCGAAGGTTGAGAATATTGTGAACATGATCATTCTTTGGCTTTCAGGTAGGTCCAAAAACAACCCCCAGCAGCACCCAGTGTCTCTGCAACCACCTGACCTTCTTTGGGAGCACCTTCTTTGTCACGCCCAACACCATTGATGTCAGCAAAACAGTGGAGCTTTTTGGCACATTTGTGGACAACCCCGTGGTAGTGACAACTGTGGGCTGTATCTTTCTTGTGTATGTGCTGGTGGCTATTTGGGCTAGAAGGAAAGACATTCAGGATGATGCCAAAGTAAGCATTGTGCTAATAGATAGTGTGATAGGAAGTATTTCCCCTCTGTCTGGCCTGCTCTGCTGTGGTCACATTAATGCAGCCACTTAGGACAGAGTGAGTGGTCAGCCCCCTTTGGAGCTGATGCCACTAATTCTCCATAAAGGGAATGGGTGATCCAAGAGTGATTAAAGAGCTTGCATTGGATTGTGTAATTTTTGTGTAATGTCTTTGTCATCTTCAGTGTGTTCCCGGCAATATACATGAAGAAGGAGGGAGTCTAAGGTTTTAGTGGTTTGCTTTCATTAAACTTTTACATCAAGAACATAACACAAGACTGAGTTTATCACTCAGGGTGTTCCCAAATGCTGTTCATTTCTCTGTGTCTCTCTAGCCTACTTCTAGACTTAGCCAAAAAATGGAGGGGGAGACAAAAACAGTTTTTGTCTAAATATTTCATGGAAAATTTTGGCTTACTGCAGAAATTTAAATACTGAAAAATTGGGGGGGTTGGCGAATATATCTCAGCTTTCAAACATTCATCTTTTCAACAAAAAAAATAAACATTTTCCATGGAAAGTAGACTTTTTTTGAAAAAAAAAATTATGTCATAAACCTAGTTTTGCATCAAAAAAACAATTTTGACAGAAAATTTTCTTCCAGCCCTACCTACTTCCCCTTGCCTCCACACTTCCTGCTAGGTATATGCAGTGTCCACAAGATGGCACCATGCCACCTTTCCCATCCAGGAGCCTGGAGAAAGATCTGCTCCCGGCACTGTTACTATTTTACCATCCATAGGATTCTCCTGGTGGTATTGTCTCTCTCTCTCCAGGTGAAGATCACAGTGTTGGAGGATAATGACCCCTTTGCTCAGTATCGTTATCTTGTGACAGTTTTTACAGGGCATCGTCGAGGGGCAGCCACAACCTCCAAGGTACTGATGGAATTACAGATGTGTTGGTATCTTCTGAATGTTTAATAGACCGTCAGCATATAGGGCTCCAGCTTCAGAAATATTTGTCACATCAGGAAACTGACCATGTCATATGTAATCCTAACATCTAAGGGAGGCAGCAGGCTACCAAAGAGAGCTTTGGCTCCTCCAAGGGAAAGAGCAAGTAATGAAGTGTCTTCTCTTCCCCTCCCTAGGCCTGGGAAGTGGACCTCTGAATTTGGGCGGCAGAGGTAACAGCAGCAGTATGCTGTGCCTGGCTCTGCTACCCACAGTGTGAGGAGGAATGGGAAAGTCCAGAGGATTCACTGGGCACGATTACATCTGCAGCCTCACTCACTCTGCTGCAAAACAGGCCGAATGAGTGAAGCTCTCCCTACATGCACAACAATGTAACAGCAGTTGCTTTTATGCTACTCAGCAGCTGCGGCAGCTTCCATTACACTCAGTTCATAGGATTTGGCAAGCCTGTCGTGACATCCTGCCAACTGTGGGCCAACGCCTGAGCTCCTGACTCAGTTTTCACTAAGTCCCTGTGCAGGGCAGCTTGGCTTCAGTGGGAATTTGCCAGAACAGAGGCTCAGTAAGGAGTTCAGGATTGGGACCCGTGTCAATACAAAGTACCCGTGTCCAAGTCATGAATGCAAACAAGTGGTGCCAGGCTGTCAATTATCAATACACTCATCCGGTACGTCTTTCAGGTGACTCTCACCCTTTACGGCCTCGAAGGAGAGAGTGAACCCCACCACCTGACTGACCCTGAGACACTAGTCTTTGAGCGTGGAGGAGTGGATGTTTTCCTGCTCTGTACCCTGTTTCCTCTTGGGGAACTGCAGCGTATCCGACTGTGGCATGATAATTCAGGAGACAGCCCATCCTGGTAAGCAAGGGGAGAGGCTATGAGGAGACAGAAGAATATCCTTTCTGATACCACTTTGCCCTTCTGTTGCACTTGTCAAACATTCATGTATTTATCCACACCCCACCCTAGGAAGTTGGAATGTGTTATCTCCATTTTGCAGATGGAGAAGCTAAGTCACAGACAGGCTAAGGGTCAGAGTCTGACACCCATACTCTCAGCGAGTTGCACTTACAGTGACCTGAATTCCATAGCGTCTTCCCCATATGAGTTAGTTCTTTATTTTTATGGCACAGGTATGTGAATCGTGTGCTGGTCCATGACCTGGCTCAGGATCAGAAATGGTATTTCCTCTGTAACTCTTGGCTGGCCATTGATGTTGGAGAGTGTGTCCTAGACAAAGTGTTCCCAGTCGCTACTGAGCAGGACATGAAGCAGTTCAGGTAACTTCAGCCTTGCGTTCCTGTTGGTTATTGACAGCAATCCATTTGAAAAAAGAAGGGATGCAAAGGGGGCCTAACCCAAAGCCCGTTTACGTCAATGAGGGTCTCAGCCTTGACTTCAATGGACTTTGGAGCCAGAGGACTGCTTAGCTGCATCTGACTGTTAAACTTTGGTATTACTGCTCTGAAAACACTGAGGAGAGGGGAGAAAGACAGTTGGAAGTACCCAATACAAACCCCAGCGCTTTACTATGTATTTTCCCTGACGATTAATAGAAAATGCTTTTGATGTGTTTGGTCCTCACCCTACAATTACAGGGACAGGAGCTACATTTTAGCCCTCTGCAAAAGGCATTGGTCTCGTGGATGCATTTTGGGGGACCCGGCTATATCCAGTGCTAACACGACCATCTCACACAACCCAAACAATCAGAGGGGTAGCCGTGTTAGTCTGAATCTGTAAAAAGCAACAGAAGTTCCTGTGGCACCTTTAAGACTAACAGAAGTATTGGAGCATAAGCTTTCGTGGGTGAATGCCCACTTCATCAGACGCGTCTGATGAAGTGGGCATTCAC